TGTTCTGTAAGCAACTATGATTCTGATGCGATATGATCTGCAATTCTGATTTCTGATTCTGTTGATGTGATCTGTCTGATCTGATCTGTTTTTGATATCTGTTCCGTTCAGTTCTGTTCCGATATGATCTGAATTTCTGATCTGTACGACTCTGATTATGGTTTGATATATGTCCGTATAAGTTCTGATTTGATTCTGTTCTGATTTGAGATACGATTCTGTTCTGATTTCTGATTGGATTTTGGTCTAATATATTGGGTTTTGGATTCTGAGAATTTTGATTGGAGGTTTGTTTCTTTGCTGAGCTGTTGAGCTCACTCTTATTTTCTGGTGGTTTTCAGGTTCTGGGAAAGGGAAGGAAGTCCAGGAATAGATTTCGGAGTCTAATCTGTATAGGTATTGTTTTGTACTTTTGATTTTTGTACAGTCATGGCTTTTTTGTTCTGTCTATCTTTCTGTCTAAAAGCCATGTACTGTATTTGTAGATGTTTGTTTTGAGGAAAAGAAAAGAAAGATAGATGTTTTGTTCCGCTGTGTTTGATGATTCATAGTAGCTCTGTGATTGTGTGTCTGTTGAGTTTAATTATTTGAAAGATTCAGTTCCAAACAAAATTCCATAACCAGATCCTGGTCAGTCTGTTCGTTCCGTGTCACGACCCGGTGCGAGCGGGATCCGTCCCGAATCGGGTCGGGTCGTGACAGACATCCCGGAGGAGATCCTCCCCAAGACGGCGGAGGAGGGGGAGGCCAGAGATCGCCAAAACGCAAACCCTAGCAGAGCTCAATCGTACGTGGATTGTCCCTTCTAATGGCAAATTCCACTCATGTTCCGGCTTGTAGTAGATTGAATAGTGGCCACGACAAAGAGGTTGGAATGTCCAGGAGATTCCAATAGCACGAGGTGGCCGGGGGTTCGGATTGGTAGAGAGAGAGGGTGCGGCTAATGGGTTGAAGAGCTATATTGGGGGTCGACACAACGTAGCTTTCACGTGGAGGTTTGCTGTAGTCGCAGCAGGATGCAACAGCTTTGCAAAGTTGACTAAAATATATAGGACTGTAATGGCAAAGTTTACTCATTGCGACATCTTTGCCTTCATGTTAAACAAATACACTTGTACCATTAATAAATCCTCTATATTCATTCTTCAATGTTGATGAAAATTTTGTTACATATTTCTTTTGGTTTATGTTTTATTACTTGATTGTATTGCTAATCATCGTAAATTATATTTATATATAAAGTTAAGTCTGTGGTAAAAACATTATGTGACAATTTGAACAAGAAAATTTCTCATTTTTTACTTAAAAATAAATTCATGAGATTTTTTTAATTGGACCTCACTAACATCATTTTATATTTATCACTCACATATACTAATTTTTCTTGATGGTCATTCAATTTAGAAAAGAAAGGTGTTAATAAAATTTATATTCAAGTCATTAAGGATATGTATGTAGGAGCTGTTACTTGAGTTCAAATACAAGTTAGTTTGATCAAGTATTTTTCTATTTTAGTTAGATATATCAAAAAGGATCATCTTTAAGTCCATATCTTTTTTGCTTTGCTTTAGTCATGAATGTTCTTACTTGACATTACAAGATGATGTTCCTTGGTGATACTTTTTTCTAATGATATTCTTCTTATTGATAAGGCTAGAAAGGGAGTTGAAAGAAAATTTGAATTATGGGGGCTAATCATAGAGTCTAAAGTCTTCATTTGAGTAGATATAATATCAAAAACATGGGATGTAATTTTATTAGTATTAGATCTAGTGAGGGTTGTGACTTTGGGCAATCAATCCATTAATAAGAGTACAAGATTTAGATTTCATGGGTTTATTGTTCAAAGTAATGGTGAAAGAAATGAGAACATTACTAATAGAATTGAAGTTGGATGATTGAAGTAGAAGAATGCGTTTTATATTTTTTATAATAGAAAAGTACCCCTCAAATTTAAAGAAAAATTTTATAAGATGGTGATGAAACCTACAATGCTTTATGGTGCAACTTGTTTGCCATTAAAAGAAAAGCATAAGGTTATGACTTGCAGAGACGAGGAAGCTCAGGTGGATGAGTGGTTTCACTCTTAGAGACATAATGCAAAATATGTGCATGAAATAGTTGGAGTAGCTCGAGTGACATATAAGATAGAGTTAGATGGTTTAGACACAGCAAATGTTGATCTTCTTATGTGTGTGTACGTGTGTGTGTATATATATTGGAACGGGGAGTATCGGTCCGCTGCCACGTCAGCTTGTGATGCGCATGGCGATGTCCACTGTAGAAAACAGAGAATAAGAATACTAGAAAAAAGATGGAGAGTTGAGGGATAACATATCGTATATTTTCTTATGCTACGGTTGTACAAGAGTTTGATATATATGGCTAATTCTATAAACTAGATACACGTGCCATCTTCTTATAGAATGCAAGAAATACAGTGTTTATTTTAATTCTTCTCTAATAGCCCCCCGCAAACTGAGGATTCTTGAGAGAACGTCAGTTTGGAGCGTAGGAATCGAAATCTGTTGGTTGACAGCAATTTTGTAAGAATATCGGCCACTTGATCTATAGTACTGATTGGGAGTAGTTGAATGTTGTTAGAATGAATTTGATCCCGAACAAAGCGTTGATCGATTTCTATATGTTTTGTTCTTGCGTGGAATACTGGATTGTTCGCCAAAGCAATTGCAGATGTATTGTCGCAAAAGAGATCAATTTTGGTGTCGTGCTTGATCCCGAAATCCGATAGTAGCCGTTTTATCCAAATGGTGTCAGCTGCGGCAGCTGCTGCAACTCCTAACTCCTGGTATCGAGAGACTGTACTTTATTTCTTGACAGTCCAAGAAAATAGAGTGTCTCCCAAATATGTACAAAATCCTGATGTAGACTTTCTTGTTTCCCGATCTCCGGCCCAGTTAGAATCCGAAAACGTACAGAGGTGTAGCGATGATTTCGTGATAGGTAGTCCAAAGTCAATCGTTCCATGAATATACCGAAGCAGTCTTTTTAACAGGTAGAAGTGAGTACTATTAGGAACGTGCATGTGCTGAGATAATATGTTGACGGCAAACGCTATGTCAGGATGAGTGATTGTTAGATATTGAAGAGCGCTCGTTATTCTTCTGTAAATGTGCGGATAAAATGATGGAACTTCTGTTGAAATGTTGTCAGGCAATTTTGTGCAAGAGGGATTAGCTAGGGAGTTGCAGTTACTGAGATTAACTTGTTGAAGAATAGATTTAGCATAGGCGGTTTGAGAGAGGAAGTACTTATCTATGTCCGTTAGAATCTTGATGCCGAGGAAGTGGTGTGCTGGACCAAGTTTCTTCAGCATGAACTGTTGTTTGTGTTGATGAAGAGATGTTGGATTGCAGGTTTGTCATTGCCCGTGACTAATATATCATCCACGTAGACCAGAAGGTAGATGCAGATATTAGCTTGTTGAAAAATGAGAAGGGATTGATCCGCTTTGCTGTGTTGGAAACCAATTTTAAGAAGATAATTGGTAAATGTCGTGAACCACTGACGCGGAGCTTGTTTTAGGCCATATATGGCCTTGCATAAGCGATACACGTGGTTCAGATGAGTAGTGTCCTCAAACCCCTTTGATTGCTTCATATAGACTGTTTCATCGAGTGTTCCGTGTAAGAACACATTGGTGACATCCAATTGTTCAACCTTCCATCCATGAAATAAAACAATTGTAAAAATAATTCATATTGTGGGGAGTTTGGCTATCGGAATGAAGGTTTCACTGTAGTCTAGACCGTGTTACTATCTATTCCCTTGTGTAACTAACCGTGCTTTGTATCTGGCTATTGAGCCGTCTGAATTGAGCTTAGTATGGTAAGTCCACTTACAACCTAGTATCAATGCATTGTTAGGAGATGGTACAATATCCCAAGTGCCTTGCTGTTGCAATGCTAGGAATTCAGATGCCATTGCCTTCCTCCAATTTTCGCGTATGTTGGCTTTCATGATAGGTGCAAGGATCCTGAATTTGAAGTGATAAAGTTTCGATGTATGCTAAGTTGAATCGACGAGCTGGTTTAAGGGATCCTGTTTGAAACCGCATGGTCATATGATGTTTGGTTGGTTGGTTGTGCAAAGGAGAGACGGAGGTAGAGGTAGCTGTATTAGCAGGACTGCGATTGTCATGCTGGTGCGTGTGGCCTTCAGAGAGTTGTGTTGCAGGAGCTGTGATTTTTGTAGTAGCTTGGGTATTGGCTGTAGTAGTGAACGTAGGATCTGATATTGGCAGAAGCAGAGCAGGTGCAGTGTCAGGCGCTGGAGAAGGATCATTGATCTCGTAATGCTAAAATGGAAAAGAGTTTTCGTTAAATTGAACATGTCTCGAGATAACTATACGATTGGTTTGAATGTTCATGCACTTATAGCCTTTTTTGAGTGTTCGAGTATCCCATGAATACATTGACAATGGATTTGGGATGAAATTTGGTTCGACCGTGAGTAGGAGTTAGAGTAAAGCATTCACATCCGAAGGTTCTCAGATATTCATAGGCCGATTTTGTATTGAAAATCAGTTGCATAAGAGAAATGGAGTTTGTATTAGTAGATGGCATTCTATTTATAAGATAGGTTGCCATGGAAACTACATCAGTCCAATACGTATGTGGCATGAATGCCGTGTGCAGCAGAGTTTTGGTCGTCTCCATGATGAGCCTGTGCTTTCTTTCGGCAATCCCGTTTTGCTCCGACATGTATGGACAGGTTGTTTGATGTAGAATGCCTCTTGATTGGGTGAAGTTCTTAAATTGATTATTAAGGTATTCCCGTTCACCGTCAGTGCGTATAGCCCTGACTTTCTTGTTGGTTTGTCGTTCAATAAATGTAATAAAATCTATGAACGTTTTAGTGACATCAGATTTGAACATAATGGGAAATAACCACGTTAAATGAGAAAAATCATCGATGAAAAGTACATAATAGCCAAATCCTTGATGTGAGGGAACCGGTTAAGGTCCCCAAACATCAGAATGCACAAGCTCAAGAATGTTTCTTTTTCTGTTAGTAGAATTGGGAAAAGATAATTTTTGACTTTTGCAAGTCTTACAGGAGTTACAAGAAAATCGAAAACAATTGGTATATGAAGATTAGCATTGCTGTTGGAGATATTCCGGATGACTTGATGATTTGGATGCCCAAGCCTCTTGTGCCAGTCATAAGCAGTGATTGAAGATGTGTACAGGGCTTTGGTCCCGTCGGTTTGCTGATTGGAGGAGATCCTATACATCCCATTTTTACTGCTACCGTTGAGAATATGTTGATTTGTAAGAAGATCCTTAAAGATAAACCCGTTGGCATCAAATGTTATCAAAATGTTATTATCTTTAACTAAATGAGAAATGGACAGTAAATTATGAGAGATAGCAGGTATATGTAAGAGTTTAGAAAGATGAAGCTTACGAGTCGAGGTGGGAAGAATGCCTGTGCCCGATTGAGCAATGGGTAACGTTCTTCCATCCTTGATAGAAACGTTGTCCGAACCTCTGTACTCTTTGACATTATCAAGATTGTCCATAGAGTTTGTCATGTGCGAAGAGGCGCCCGAGTCAAGATACCAATCGTCTGTGGATAGCACGTTAGTCGATAGCAGAGCATTGTTTGATTTGGTCTGCTTGTTCACTGGAGTGTAATTGGGATTGAGACGGTGCCAACACACATCAGCAGTGTGACCTTTCTTCATACAAATTTGACAAACAAGATTAGGAGCAGGGTTCGCACGATGTTTCTGATTTCCTGACTAATATGATCGACCGCGTCCTCTTCTGGATCGACCCTTGGTGGTGTAGAGAGCTATTTGATTGTCAGCCATTACCGATTACTTTGAAGCATCGGACTGGATGTGAATTTCTTCACTAATGAGTAGTGCATGCAGATTGTCCAAACTTAGCGGGGTTTGCATCGTTCTTACAACCATCTTGAACGAGTTGTATGCCACTGGAAGGCTGTTCAAGATATGATGAAGAACGTCTTCAGAGTCAAGTTTTGCACTGGCGTACGCAATTTGATCAACAAGTTTCTTGATCTCCGTGAGATATTGCGTCATAGAGAGATTTTTCATAGATATATTTTGCAATTCGTTCTTCAGCTGAATGACTTTGGAACGATTCGTCGACTGGAACATGATTTACAGAGTTGTCCAGATTTCCGATGTTGATTCAAGATGCATGACATACGAAAGAATTTGCGGGGAGATAGTCGCACAGATGGCCGCCGCCAAGTTTTGATCCGTCACCATCCATTTGGTACGTCTGTAGTTTGGATCTTGATTTTCTGGATCTTGATCGTGAGATGGCATGGATGATGTTGCCGCTGGATCGAGAAATGCTTCGAAACCATTCGCCTTGAGCAGCTTGTTGATTTGGTTGCTCCATATCAGTTAGTTTTCCGATGAAAGAGGATGAGGAATTAGGGATTTGAGATTTGATATTACAAATTTGAGGGAAGGATTGTTAAGATCGAGATTTGTCAGAGAAAACACCTGAGACATTGCCTGTGTTGGAGGAGGAGGCGGAAGCCGAGTTCGCCATTGATGTCCCCATAATGAACTTACTTCTAATACCATGTAGAAAATAGAGAACGCGAATACTAGAAGAAAGATGGAGAGCTAAGGGATAACATACCGTGTATTTCCTTATGCTACGGTTGTACAAGAGTTTGTTTATATAGCCAATTCTATAAACTAGATACATGTGCCATCTTCTTATAGTAATACAGTGTTTATTTTAATTATTGTCTAATATCCACTAGTCTCCTCGGCTGACCTAGACGAGCAACCCACACCTATTACTACTCGTAGCCCGCGCTTATTGGGTCCCCCCTAGAGGGACGCTGCAGTCCGAGGGAATCGAGTACGAGTAGGAGGGTTCTCAACCGCATTCGTCCACCATCCTATCACTACTGGTGGCCCGCACTATATATTATATTTGATCTATGTTAAGAAAAATTGAGATAGATCTAAAAAAACTCGATTAAAAAAATATTAGAATCTTTTTTTATTATTATTCATTAACTTGCAAGGAAAGGATTTGAGATTTTCTCTTTACTGAATTCAATGAGGATAAATATCTAGACAAACAATAACCATTTCTTTCACCTTTTGTTTCAATCACCAATCCTAATTGTGCATTACACGAGACCTTGGGGGATGTTCGAGGAACAATCAACTCCCACAGCAAAAAGAAAACGAAAAAATTATAAGGATACAATATATATACAGTATTTGATTTCGCTGACTTCTAACTAATGACAATTTAAATGACCTTTCTTTTGCTCAAGTAAATGGTCCAAATAACATACTGCATGATTACCACTCTTGCTGGTGGTGTCATGGGCCGTAATCGTGGTGCGGAAGGAAACAGCTCTATTTTCCGGTTAAAAATCAAGTTTTTATTTAAATTTATTAAAAAAATAACTGGCAGAAAAAATTTGATGTTTTAATTTATTTTATGGTGCATTTATTATTGCAACGGTATCATGGAGTAGGTTTATTTGGTTTCTATTTATTTATTCATTTATTATTTTGTCTCTTATCTTGATTGGTGTGCCACATAGATCTGTCTCTATTTTATCATGGCCAAATTTTAGATAAAAGCATGCTATTTATTAAAATTATTTTAAAGAGCCTATTTAAAAAAAAAATTTAAAAAGGAGCAAATGAGCCAAATCATTTAGCGCATTGTGAAAAGTTGGAGAGAGAAAGGAGGAGAGAGAAAAGTTGGAGAGAGAGGGCACGTATTGAAAGAATAATATAGAAGAGGGATGGGGATGGGTAAAGTATTATATATATATATATATATAT